AACTAAATTATTATTTGCAATAGTTGATACATTGATTATATTTGAGAGATCAACAGGCATTGAGAGTCCCCATTGAGGGACTCCACTGAGAGTCACCACTGCGGGGACTCCACTGAGCGTGGCCACTTAGTGATCATAACTATAGCACTGTGCACTGTGAACATTACTGTGCCGTCAACTGAGTGTGAAAGTGTGGTTCAGGGCCCCGACTGACCTTCCTCTACCAGCCGTCGCTCACACATGGAGTGTTGGCACACACACACCACATCATACATACATGCATTCGTATGCACGTTAGATTACTCATACATGCAGGCACGAATACACAAACAGTCATAAGCATGCAGGATTATACATATACATGCTCTCACTGTGTTTAGTATGCCGTATCTATCCATACAGATACAGCGACAAGACCGGACATGGGTGAGGCAGTATACATAAAGCAAGCCAAGCCATGTATCAATAGCCAACTACCATCAAATTACATTCTGCCAACTTGCGGAACACGACGGAACACACAGCATACTGCACCAGACCACACACTAGAAATAAGAACAAAGGTAACTGCAGAAGGCCTATTGGCCCATACGAGGCAGCTCATATCTATAACCATCTACTTGAGAATGGTCCAGGACGGACCGAAACGTCGTCGTCCCTTCATTTTCTAGTGTGTGGTCTGGTCAACATATTTCAACCAAGTTATTTGGACTAATCCTCTGCATACTGCATCAGTCATCATGCCAACGCCAGAGTGACATGACACAGTGGACCTATAAGTGAGGTGCACCTTCTTCACCTTATTCTCGAGTACATAGTTTGCAGCAAGACAATCTAATCGTTTTACGGGCTATTCATGCCCGTGCCACCTCTTGGGTAGCTTAATCTTATTTAATCAATCTAATTGTTCCTACTTTTTCTTTGACAATGCTAACTAGGGTTACCGAAACGTAACTCTTAACGTTAAGCCCAATAAAACTATAAAAACTTACTTTGGAGAGTTATTTTTCAACTTCCTTCTCAAGTGAAGAAAAGTGTAAAGAAAACAGAGAAGATTCGCTCAAACTTTGCTTCAATATACCAATTAATACTTTTATTAGTTAGATTAAAGACCTGCCCAAAACGCTATGCCGTTAGTGGCTTTCCATAATTGTAATACTCAAACACCAGTATTTTGTTCTCTCACAACCCAATGTACCTTCTTCTAAATAAATAATATAACATAAATGTCCGATGTGGCGGCACTTCTCGTGTACCTTGAGATTATTTTATGTTGACTAGACCACACACTAGAAGGTGAAGGGACGACAACGTTTCGGTCCGTCCTGGACCATTCTCAAGTCGATTATTTTATATAATTATCCCTTGCGCTATGGGCGCTTCTTTCCTTTCGTTCAAAACATGTTTGATTCTCTTCTGAGACTAAGAGGAAGGGAATGATGTAAGTCTCGCCTATATTCAGACCTCAAGCACTTAATAATAAACTTAAGAATGGTGATGTACCTGTGAGAAGGTAAACTTGCAGACACTATGAAATATCAAGATTCACTTGGTAATCTCAGCACAAGCATTAACCTTCTATGCGAATGACAGCCCACAAAGATTCGTCACGTCTTGGCTATTGTCTCGCCTGTAGGGGGAGGTGTGGCGATGGTGGAGCTTCCATGGTAACTGCTGCCAGTGTCAAGGTCTTAGGTCAGTCTTCAAGACCAGATGGGCGGAGCCTGCACTATATAAACCCAGTCTGTGTATCACTGGACATCAGTCTCACTCCTCTCTCTCTCAACTGAACATGGCTTTCAAGGTAAACTTTGAAATGGTATTTATAAAGTTGATTCTTCTAGTATAATCATTTTATACCTGTTCAACCGTGAAATATCTTAAATTGTCGTGTTTCTCAGGTTTTTGTCCTGACCGCTCTTGTGGCTGTCGCCTTGACTGAGAAGCTGCCCTCCTACAGGCCTCCAACCCCTGCCTACAGGCCTCCAACCCCTGCCTACAGGCCTCCTGTCCCTGCCTACAACGCCCCACGTCCCTCTTACAGCGCTCCTTCACCTTCTGTAAGTCCTTAGAACGTTACCATTAAACATTATTAGCTAAAATTACATTAAATTTTTGTTTATGTTCAAAGTTAGGTGAAAAATTATGAATGTGTCCTAGTTTTAATACTGTATGTATAATTAGTGAAGAAAATGTTAAACAACTGCAGTAATGCTTAATCGTCGTTAATTTACCCATCAGGGTGTTCCCCAGTACAACTTCAACTGGGCCGTGAAGGACGACTACTCCGGCAACGACTTCGGCCACGACGAAACTCGTAATGGCTACGACACTCAGGGATCCTATTACGTCCAGCTTCCCGACGGTCGCCTGCAGAGGGTTTCCTACACTGTGAACGGTGACTCCGGCTTCCTTGCTCAGGTTGAGTACCAGGGAGAAGCCCAGTACCCAGCCTACCAACCAGCCCCGGCCTACAAGCCTGCCCCAGTCTACCAGCCTGCCCCAGTCTATGGTTAAAAATATATAAATACAGTTGCTGAATGTATTTTATGTTATAATATATTTTAAAACAAAACTCAGTGTATTACAATCCAAAAAATGTGAAAACGACCAGACGTAAATTTATCTTAAATAATTATATTGAATAATTTATGAAAAACAGAAAATGTAAAAACAGCAGACTTTTCTCACGTGATGCTCAGACTGTTATTTTATTTATACAAGACAACATTACCATCAGTTACCAATCAATGGGAGTGGTTACAATTGCAGCTAGAGCAAGCTGTTGTATTGGGGGAAGATGGATGTTAGCAGAGGTGGTCAAGAATACAGAAATGATTGGATTGGCATGATTGGACATGCCGAGAGTTGGCCGGTTTTCAGCTGCCTCTCATCAAAACGAAAAATCATCGAGTTGATATTTCTCGGCTTCCCCAGGAGACCTAGACACTGACAGGAGGTACCATGGGACCTTCACCTCGTCTACACCTTCCCCAGGAGACCTAGACACTGGCAGGAGGTACCATGGGACCTTAACCTCGTCTACACCTCCCCCAGGAGGCGAGACAATAGCAAAGTCGTGACGAAGCTTCGACAGCTCTCTTCACTGAGAAGGTTAATGTTTATGGTCTGATTAGCAAGTAAATCATGATAGCGTCTACATTGTTGTTTTGTCTGTGAGACGGTAAATTGACCTAAAATTCTTACACATTGGCATGCAGCGTTGTTTATGCAAATAACATCAACATTCAGTTTTGAAAGTTTTTAATAGTTCAGTGGCTATTATCATTAGTATATATTGTCTACTATTATATGTAGAATAATGGCTATTATCTACATCATTTGCTTCCCATTATTCTAATTACCGTTTCAGTCGCGTTTGGAGCAAGAGAAAAGGAGCGTTTAAGTGTATGACTTAAACGCTCGAAGCCGAGTAAATTCACACAAATAAGTGTGAACGTACTCAGGTAATGAGACACATCTGTAGACCTTGAGAATGACGGATCTTTACACACAGAAATCACAATTGCGTGATGCATCAAATGAACAAATCCACAAGGGCGAGGATTCGAACCTGCGTCCGAGAGGATCCCAGACGCTGCCTTAATCGACTGAGCTACGACATGGTCAAAGGGATCTTGAAGTCGAGAAGTCACCCCGGAACCTGACATAAGAACAAAGGTAACTGCAGAAGGCCTATTGGCCCATACGAGGCAGCTCCTATTTACAACCACCCAATCCCACTCATATACATGTCCAACCCGCGCTTGAAACAATCGAGGGAGCCCACCTCCACCACGTTACACGGTAATTGGTTCCACAAATCAACAACCCTGTTACCGAACCAGTATTTATCCAAGTTTTTCCTAAATCTAAATTTATCCAATTTATACCCATTGTTTCGTGTTCTGATGGCTGTGTGCGCGCTGTTTTACGAGCACCAGACGTCAAAACTGGTGTCGTTCACCGTCATTCTTGCTTTATTAGGAAGGATGACTGTGCTTCGTTGAGCCACCAGCAGGATGTCACTGCTACTGTGTCCAAGATGAGTTGGACAATATGCATCACCTTGAGCCGTGCGCCACCCACACTAAACCATTCAGAGAGCTCTCACACTTTCCTGTGTACGTGATGTAACTACATGGAAATCCATTTTCCTTGTAAATCTTCATGGCAACAATTTTTCCATGAAACCTGAATTAATGGTTATTTGTTAATTAAAATTGGTTTAGTTGTACAGTATAAACAAATCCACAAGGGCCGTGACGAGGATTCGAACCTGCGTCCGGGAGCGATGTTGTACAGTATAGGTATATCTCAGGTCTATCTTGGTGAAATAAATGACAACTTAGCTGTTCTGATGTTGTTATTTTAGATTTGGCTACTCAAAATGACATATACAATCTTGGTCTGGTGATAAACATCTCGTTATTGAGGCGATTCTGAACACGATGTGAACACGTAAGCTACGGCGTCTCTCAGTGGTTAGAGACGTTAGACTTGCCTTCTTCCTTCAAGGAAGTAAAACTGCAAACGAAATAAAATGTATTTTCTGATGTAAATTATATGGGAGACTTTAAATCATGTAATTTGTGTGATTTGTTATCAGGAAATTATACCCATTTGTATTTTATCACCACCGAGAGGACAGTGATTTTATAATAGTGTATTGGCCAACTACTTATTATACTAAAGCATCCATCCCATAGATGCTTTAGATATTAAATCCCATACATGCTTTGCTTCCATATTGTTGAAGTTTGGTGGCCTGTAAATAACTAGTATTAAATGATTACCTTTTCCATTTAATTCAAGCCATATGTATTTTGAATCGGTTTTCACCTTTGACACATTTTTATTTTCTGATATATATATATATATATATGGCTACTCCTCGCCTGTAGGGGGAGGTGTGGCGATGGTGGAGCTTGCATGGTAACTACTGCCAGTGTCAAGGGCTTTCTCCGTCTTAGGTCAGTCTTCAAGACCAGATGGGCGGAGCCTGCACTATATAAACCCAGTCTGTGTATCACTGGACATCAGTCTCACTCCTCTCTCTCTCAACTGAACATGGCTTTCAAGGTAAACTATGAAATGGTATTGATAAAGTTGACGAGATTCTTCAAGTATAAAGATTTTATAGCTGTTCAACCGTGAAATATCTTGAAATGTTGTGCTTCTCAGGTTTTTGTCCTGACCGCTCTTGTGGCTGTCGCCTTGGCTGAGAAGCTGCCCTCCTACAGGCCTCCAACCCCTGCCTACAGGCCTCCTGTCCCTGCCTACAACGCCCCACGTCCCTCCTACAGCGCTCCTGCACCTTCTGTAAGTCCTTAGAACGTTACCATTAAACATTATTAGCTAAAATTACAATAAAGTTTTGTTTATGTTCAAAGTTAGGTGAAAAATTATGAATGTGTCCTAGTTTTAATACTGTATGTATAATTAGTGAAGAAAATGTTAAACAACTGCAGTAATGCTTAATCGTCGTTAATTTACCCATCAGGGTGTTCCCCAGTACAACTTCAACTGGGCCGTGAAGGACGACTACTCCGGCAACGACTTCGGCCACGACGAAACTCGTAATGGCTACGACACTCAGGGATCCTATTACGTCCAGCTTCCCGACGGTCGCCTGCAGAGGGTTTCCTACACTGTGAACGGTGACTCTGGCTTCCTTGCTCAGGTTGAGTACCAGGGAGAAGCCCAGTACCCAGCCTACCAACCAGCCCCGGCCTACCAGCCTGCCCCAGTCTACCAGCCTGCCCCAGCCTACAAGCCCGCCCCAGTCTATGGTTAACTCAGACACAAATGTTAATTTTGAGTCTTAAAAATATATAAATACAGTTGAATGTATTCTATGTTATAATATATTTTTAAACAAAACTCAGTGTATTACAATCCAAAAAATGTGAAAACGACCAGATGTAAATTTATCTTAAATAATTATATAGAATTATTTATGAAAAACAGAAAATGTAAAAACAGCAGACTTTTCTCACGTGATGCTCAGACTGTTATTTTATTTATACAAGACAATATTACCATCAGTTACCAATCAATGGGAGCGGTTACAATTGCAGCTAGAGCAAGCTGTTGTATTGGGGGAAGATGGATGTTAGCAGAGGTAGTCAAGAATACAGAAATGATTGGATTGGCATGATTGGACATGCCGAGAGTTGGCCGGTTTTCAGCTGCCTCTCATCAAAACGAAAAATCATCGAGTTGATATTTCTCGGCTTCCCCAGGAGACCTAGACACTGACAGGAGGTACCATGGGACCTTCACCTCGTCTACACCTTCCCCAGGAGACCTAGACACTGGCAGGAGGTACCATGGGACCTTAACCTCGTCTACACCTCCCCCAGGAGGCGAGACAATAGCAAAGTCGTGACGAAGCTTCGACAGCTCTCTTCACTGAGAAGGTTAATGTTTATGGTCTGATTAGCAAGTAAATCATGATAGCGTCTACATTGTTGTTTTGTCTGTGAGACGGTAAATTGACCTAAAATTCTTACACATTGGCATGCAGCGTTGTTTATGCAAATAACATCAACATTCAGTTTTGAAAGTTTTTAATAGTTCAGTGGCTATTATCATTAGTATATATTGTCTACTATTATATGTAGAATAATGGCTATTATCTACATCATTTGCTTCCCATTATTCTAATTACCGTTTCAGTCGCGTTTGGAGCAAGAGAAAAGGAGCGTTTAAGTGTATGACTTAAACGCTCGAAGCCGAGTACCTTCACACAAATAAGTGTGAACGTACTCAGGTAATGAGCCACATCTGTAGACCTTGAGAATGACGGATCTTTACACACAGAAATCACAATTGCGTGATGCATCAAATGAACAAATCCACAAGGGCGAGGATTCGAACCTGCGTCCGAGAGGATCCCAGACGCTGCCTTAATCGACTGAGCTACGACATGGTCAAAGGGATCTTGAAGTCGAGAAGTCACCCCGGAACCTGACATAAGAACAAAGGCAACTGCAGAAGGCCTATTGGCCCATACGAGGCAGCTCCTATTTACAACCACCCAATCCCACTCATATACATGTCCAACCCGCGCTTGAAACAATCGAGGGAGCCCACCTCCACCACGTTACACGGTAATTGGTTCCACAAATCAACAACCCTGTTACCGAACCAGTATTTATCCAAGTTTTTCCTAAATCTAAATTTATCCAATTTATACCCATTGTTTCGTGTTCTGATGGCTGTGTGCGCGCTGTTTTACGAGCACCAGACGTCAAAACTGGTGTCGTTCACCGTCATTCTTGCTTTATTAGGAAGGATGACTGTGCTTCGTTGAGCCACCAGCAGGATGTCACTGCTACTGTGTCCAAGATGAGTTGGACAATATGCATCACCTTGAGCCGTGCGCCACCCACACTAAACCATTCAGAGAGCTCTCACACTTTCCTGTGTACGTGATGTAACTACATAGAAATCCATTTTCCTTGTAAATCTTCATGGCAACAATTTTTCCATGAAACCTGAATTAATGGTTATTTGTTAATTAAAATTGGTTTAGTTGTACAGTATAAACAAATCCACAAGGGCCGTGACGAGGATTCGAACCTGCGTCCGGGAGCGATGTTGTACAGTATAGGTATATCTCAGGTCTATCTTGGTGAAATAAATGACAACTTAGCTGTTCTGATGTTGTTATTTAAGCTTTGGCTACTCAAAATGACATATACAATCTTGGTCTGGTGATAAACATCTCGTTATTGAGGCGATTCTGAACTCGATGTGAACACGTAAGCTACGGCGTCTCTCAGTGGTTAGAGAGAGACGTTAGACTTGCCTTCTTCCTTCAAGGAAGTAAAACTGCAAACGAAATCAAATGTATTTTCTGATGTAAATTATATGGGAGACTTTAAATCATGTAATTTGTGTGATTTGTTATCAGGAAATTATACCCATTTGTATTTTATCACCACCGAGAGGACAGTGATTTTATAATAGTGTATTGGTCAACTACTTATTATACTAAAGCATCCATCCCATAGATGCTTTAGATATTAAATCCCATACATGCTTTGCTTCCATATTGTTGAAGTTTGGTGGCCTGTAAATAACTAGTATTAAATGATTACCTTTTCCATTTAATTCAAGCCATATGTATTTTGAATCGGTTTTCACCTTTGACACATTTTTATTTTCTGATATATATATATATATATATGGCTACTCCTCGCCTGTAGGGGGAGGTGTGGCGATGGTGGAGCTTGCATGGTAACTACTGCCAGTGTCAAGGGCTTTCTCCGTCTTAGGTCAGTCTTCAAGACCAGATGGGCGGAGCCTCCACTATATAAACCCAGTCTGTGTATCACTGGACATCAGTCTCACTCCTCTCTCTCTCAACTGAACATGGCTTTCAAGGTAAACTATGAAATGGTATTGATAAAGTTGACGAGATTCTTCAAGTATAAAGATTTTATAGCTGTTCAACCGTGAAATATCTTGAAATGTTGTGCTTCTCAGGTTTTTGTCCTGACCGCTCTTGTGGCTGTCGCCTTGGCTGAGAAGCTGCCCTCCTACAGGCCTCCAACCCCTGCCTACAGGCCTCCTGTCCCTGCCTACAACGCCCCACGTCCCTCCTACAGCGCTCCTGCACCTTCTGTAAGTCCTTAGAACGTTACCATTAAACATTATTAGCTAAAATTACAATAAAGTTTTGTTTATGTTCAAAGTTAGGTGAAAAATTATGAATGTGTCCTAGTTTTAATACTGTATGTATAATTAGTGAAGAAAATGTTAAACAACTGCAGTAATGCTTAATCGTCGTTAATTTACCCATCAGGGTGTTCCCCAGTACAACTTCAACTGGGCCGTGAAGGACGACTACTCCGGCAACGACTTCGGCCACGACGAAACTCGTAATGGCTACGACACTCAGGGATCCTATTACGTCCAGCTTCCCGACGGTCGCCTGCAGAGGGTTTCCTACACTGTGAACGGTGACTCTGGCTTCCTTGCTCAGGTTGAGTACCAGGGAGAAGCCCAGTACCCAGCCTACCAACCAGCCCCGGCCTACCAGCCTGCCCCAGTCTACCAGCCTGCCCCAGCCTACAAGCCCGCCCCAGTCTATGGTTAACTCAGACACAAATGTTAATTTTGAGTCTTAAAAATATATAAATACAGTTGAATGTATTCTATGTTATAATATATTTTTAAACAAAACTCAGTGTATTACAATCCAAAAAATGTGAAAACGACCAGATGTAAATTTATCTTAAATAATTATATAGAATTATTTATGAAAAACAGAAAATGTAAAAACAGCAGACTTTTCTCACGTGATGCTCAGACTGTTATTTTATTTATACAAGACAATATTACCATCAGTTACCAATCAATGGGAGTGGTTACAATTGCAGCTAGAGCAAGCTGTTGTATTGGGGGAAGATGGATGTTAGCAGAGGTAGTCAAGAATACAGAAATGATTGGATAATAACATGCTGAGAGTTGGCCGGTTTTCAGCTGCCTCTCATCAAAACGAAAAATCATCGAGTAGATATTTCTCGGCTTCCCCAGGAGACCTAGACACTGACAGGAGGTACCATGGGACCTTCACCTCGTCCAAACATTCCTCAGGAGACCTAGACACTGACAGGAGGTACCATGGGACCTTCACCTCGTCCAAACATTCCTCAGGAGACCTAGACACTGACAGGAGGTACCATGGGACCTTCACCTCGTCCAAACATTCCTCAGGAGACCTAGACACTGGCAGGAGGTACCATGGGACCTCCACCTCGTCCAAACATTCCTCAGGAGACCTAGACACTGCAAGGAGGTACCATGGGACCTTCACCTCATCCAAACATTCCCCAGGAGACCTAGACACTGGCGGGAGGTGTATATCTAAATAGATATAGATATATGTCTATACATATAGATGCTTTAGATATATATATATGTATATCTATAGATATTTCATCCCCATACATGCTTTACTTCCATACTGTTGAAGTTTGGTGGAAATAACTATTATTAAATGATTACCTTTTCCATTTAATTCAAGCCATTTGTATTTTGAATCGGTTTTCATCTTTGACACATCTATAATTTTCTGATATATATATGGCTACTCCTCGTCAACCAATTTGTCTCTCCCTTAATAGATATTCAGCTAATCATATCTACATTATATATTATGATAATAATTAGGTACTACTAAATATATCAACTAGAAATAGAACATGAAACAATGGCCTTTAAATTTAGGAAAGACAATGGTAAATACTGGTTTTATAGCAAAGGTGTTGACTTATGGAACAGGTTAACACAATAGTTGAACTGTTTCAAGCGTAGGTTAAACATAGGTATGAGTTTGTGTGGATATAAACAAGAGGTGCCTCATATGTGCCAATAGGCACATTCAGCTTCATATGTGCCTATAGGCACATTCAGCCTCATATGTGCCTATAGGCACATAGCTTCATATGTGCCTATAGGCACATTCCTTGATTTTTATAGTTGTATGGTTTTAAGAAATATTATGATATTGCTATTAAAGATAAAAAGTAAAAAAAGATAAGAAGTATTAAAGATAAGAAGTAAAAAATACATATGTATTTATATTGAGGAGATTTATTAATAAAATACTGTTATACATTAGTCACACTATACATATATTCAGATTTTGTTATACATTAAATACAATATGCAGTAGTATAATTGTATTTAATTGATCTTAATATAAACACCACTAAACTCAAGCAACATTTGCCTTAGTTGGCACTCACTATTAACACCACTGACGATAATATGGTTGGTATTATCGACAGTGACATCACCAGAGTCGTTATCAGCTTCGATGTCGTTATTACTGACATCACTGGCATCGGAGATGATGAGGAGGTAGA